TAAAAAAACGATAAAAGCTCTTAGTGTAGTACGCGAACAGTGTCTTGGCGTTGCCGTCACGGTCCATTAGTTCGTAGTAGACTGGCCGCGTAGTCAAAACGAAAAATGCCTAATAAGGCGTACGTACGGGTTAGGAAAATAAAATAAAAATTCATCATGTCCCTTAATAATTAAACAGCTTCGTATACTGCAGCAATACGGGTCTCTTAAACAAATTTATTTTTATAATATTTTCGTATTTATTTAATACGGTAACTATTGCGTATTATTAAATGTAGCAAAATAAATTCATAAATTATAAATATCTTTTTGGTAATTTTTGGGTCACAAAATTAACATAATGTGTCATTATATACATCATTTAGTAGATAATTTAATAGCTTTTGTATGATACCAGATCATTTAAAATTAGTTTGTTCCTCCTTTTGGGTTACAGCATTAATGTAATCTGTTTTTAGACACATAATTTGATAAATAGGTTTAAAACTGCTTTCTTTATGATACCATTTAAATTCAATTGGTTGTATCGTAAGGTACAAGCTTTAAAATACCATTTTGGGGTAAAAAGTAAATGTTTTGGCTTGCGGTAAATAACCTATGACACACTGTAACTCCGAAATATAAAAAAAATAAATAATGTATGAAATCTTTATTCGTGTTTTATTTTGTATGTGGCCAAATAATAATAATTATTATTATTTTTATTATTATTATTATTATTATTATTATTTTTACTACTATTTCTATTTTTATTATTATTATTATTATGTTAATTTAGCCAAAAAAAACATAAAAATACGTTTTTATAGTGTTTTTTGTGTCACAAAATTAAAATAATGTTACTTCATACAGATTATTAGATAGATAAATTGTGTTTGGGTAAAAACGTAAAAAAAATTGCCATTTATGGTCAAATTTGACTTCTTTCACTAATAATTTTTTTCTTGATTTTTTATTTTATTCCTCAATAAATTCTAAGTTGAAAACAATTATTTTCATTACTATTGTAATTTGTTTCGGGTTGAGCCATGTTTTTTGTTTTTGTTTTTTTTTTCGTAAACTGACTGGACTATAAATACACTTACCGTTACTTGACAATCTGAATTCTTGATTGGTTGGAAATGGTTACCATCGACACTGTAAAGAATCTCGTAAGACGTCACCCATTGATTCCGGATTTTTCCGTCTGGTGCGATGTATTTGTTACGGCCTTGTGTAATTACCCCATGTACCTCATATAGTTTACCGAGGTCAACTTGGATCCACTGGTATTGGTCATTGCCTTTTGACGTCCATGACCCTGCCATCCAATCATATGCTTTAGTATTGAGTCGTCCACGAGTTACCGCAGCTCGAAAACTATTTTCACTGGATGCAGACAGCTGTTCCGGGGGAATAGTCCCATTTTCAATACCAAGAGGATCGATACACAACTCTGAGACAGATTATTACAATAGCTGTGACATATTTGGTGACATCTCCTAAGAAATTCCTATATTTTTTCCCAAAAAATATTTGCATAGTTTTCATGTTTCTTCTATTTTGGAATTTTAGAAATTAAAGAAATTGGGAATAAAAATAAAGAATTGTATGGTATACAGTATGTGTATTGATCAGGGAACAGTGAAATGTTCCCTGGTATTGATGTAGTAATTATAATTTAAACATTCTTTACCTGATATCAACTGGTATTCAAAACAAAAACACATCGTTATTGCTCGTTCTATGTTCTTCGATTTTCTTTATTATTACTATTATTATTATTATTATTATTATTATTATTATTATTATTATTATTATTATTATTGTTGTTGTTGTTGTTGTTGTTGTTGTCGTTATTGTTATTATTATTATTAATCTTGTGATTATTATTATTATTATTATTATTATTACTGTATGCTCGAATAAGCGCCGCTCTCGAATAAGCGTAGTGACGCTTAATGGAGAGTATATATATTGCCCTGTGTATAATGAAACAGGGTATAAAATTCAATGTATAATGTTAAAATGAATAAATAACACAATGAAGAAACAAGCATTTCTTGTAAACGTTTGTTCACGATGATAGGACCTATGATAGGCCTACTGACCTACCGGAAACGTGATAGGTAACATGGAAACGGGCAATCAAATGAAAGCGCCACGCCAATATTTTTTTTTTTTATAAGCGCTGCTCGTGATGAATAAGCCGCCAAAAATGTTATAAGCGCGACGGTGCTTATTCGACCATTACGGTGTTGTTGTTGTTGTTGTTATTATTAGTATTATTATTATTATTATTATTATTATTATTATTATTATTATTATTATTATTATTATTATTGTTATTGTTATTGTTATTGTTATTATTATTATTATTATTATTATTATTATTATTATTATTATTATTATTATTTGCACAAGTTGATTTGAGAATTGCATTAGGAACCGTAACTACTGAAGATCATTATTGCTAATTCAATTGTAATTGTGAAAAATCAATGAAAAGAAACCAAGTTTTAATCTAAACTTATTAATGATTATTGTTTACAGGCTGATATTGAGTATTAGCTATAAATGGCAAAGGGGAGTTTTGGTACATTTCTTTGCATATGTATTTTGGTTTAAGCATGGCGGTATAAAACGTATACCGCCATGGTCGCATGCTATGTTAAGGGGTACCGGTAACCAGTTTTAGAATCTATTATTTTAAGAAGATTTCTTTTTAAATAGTTTTACCTGGTCGAAAAAATATGGATAGAGTACAGGCTAATTGTCTAGGCCTACTTTTCAAACGCTCGCCTAACTTGAATATGATACAAACTGGGTATCAAAGGTTAAGATTAATATTTTAAACCGGTTTAGTTTATCCTTATTAAGAAGTATTACTAATGAATATTGGCTACACTATATTCATATTTTTTTCATTATTAACAAACATAAAAAAATAAAATTTCTTAAATATGATGAAGATGATGATGTTGTTGATGAAGATAATGATAATTACTACTACTGCTACTGCTGCCGTTCCTGGTACTACTACTACTACTACCACCACCATCACCACTACTACTACTACTACTACTACTACTACTACTACTACTACTACTACTACTACTACTACTGCTAGGCCTGCCACTACAATGTCTAAATGAATTATTATTATTATTATTATGAATTATTTCTACTAATTATTTAATTATTTATTTATTTAGTTCTTAAATATTGTTTAGTCAAAATTATACTTACCCGACACAACAGGGCTGATAATTAGCAACGAATTAACGAAAACGATTTTCAGAATGTCCAACATTGAATGCTGCTTGGTTTTTACACTTATGAATTTATACTTCTACGTTGGATATGAGTTGTTAGTGTTACTGATGTAGGCTATTATAGAGTAGAGAAACCACTGAATGTCAATAATTATTTTATGCAACTAAATTGATATTGCTGTTTTCGTCGAATATAATCACACAATTGTGAGAGGCCGCAATATTTAAATGCCTCAAGCAACACCGTGTGATTTCAATATGAATTTCTAAACGTAATTGACTTGCATGAACAAGCACCATTGTAAAAGGGATGGCGCTGTTTATCTTAAAATCTACTACATAATCTCAATCATGTTCCACAATTATCTTCTTTCCATAATATAACTCGGTCTATCAAAAAGTGGATTGCAATCCTGCTGCCCAAGTCTACTATAGCTTTAAAAAACATATGAATTCCTCTCAGTTTGACGAATTCCAGATTTCCGACTGTTACTTGATGATAACAATTTGTTAGTGAACGATTACCGTTTTCACCCACATAGATCTTTTGTCAAACAGACTACATAATGGTCTAAAACACTAGTAAAATGTAAACCCCTGAAATTGATGCTATTTACTTCGTTATTACAGCGAATAATGTTGGAGTCCCACAGGGATACGTGCTCCGCTTCTATTAAATGATTTTGAATTTGACCTCCCCATGGCAATATCATCCCAAATCTCTCAATTGTGCAAAGAAAATATGATGAATTATATTCTAATACGTGCAAAGTCTTTCATATCACTCGCAAAAAGAACTACATTACCAATTGCATATACTATTGACTTGCACATCTTGCAAATTTGTTGGTATAACATTCTCTCATGATTATTAATGGTCATCATATCACAACAATCTATACAAAATCATAATGTATAAATTCTATTAATTATTGAGACGTCAGATATCGTTTCGTCAAAATGATAGATATTATACCGTACCCGACACAAAAGGGCCAATAATTAGCAATAAATTAACCAAATTTTTATGTTCTTTTCGTCTCAACATTCTAGACTAATAAGTAATTTTAAGCAATTAAAACGTTTATAATCTGAGTTTGCTTGTTTTAACTTGTACTTTTTGTAGTGTTGTTTTTGCATTGTTGACTGACTGTCAACATTTTACAAAGGAGGAATTGTCAATGACGACCAAATGTTCTCTCTAGAAAATTGAAAATATAAATAATAAAATATTTAATACTGTTATATTAAGTGAAACTTCAATGAACTACCATTTTTAAAGAAAATATCTAAACAAAGAAACAAAGAAAAAATAAAAAAGCATGTTCCCTTTGGTCATACATTTATTATCAGAAATTTGGAAATCTGAGTGTACCTTGTTTGATATTCCTTTACTTATTAAATTTACAGTTCTGTTTTTTTTCTTTCAACCATAATAACTTCACTCTCTGAGCTATATTATGCGACATTTTTCACCTACGGCATATTGTGAGTAATTTGCTGTGTTATTTGCGTTTATTCTGTTTGCTAAAATAAAATAAAAATTCAAATAAACAGAAATTCAAAACTGGATTGCGTTTTATTCAATAAGGGTACTAGACACGTACCGTACGTCACAACAGGGCTGGTAAATAGTAATGACCTAATGAAACCAAGCTCAAAAACTTCAGAATCACAGTTTTTAGGATTTAAAAATTTGCATTTCGCTTGTGTCCTTGTGAGCAAGGCACTTTAAATTTGCAATGCTTCTCTCCGCCTGGTGGGTTGTCCTGCTCATGCGCTAACCATCAGCAGCAACACTTAAGGATGTGGACCACATGACCTGGGACAGAAGCACTTCTTGTCTGCAAATGAAGGCGTTATATAAAAAAACGAATATATATATTTATATATATATATATATTTCTGATAATAAATGTAATGTATATATAATAAAACATATATATAAAATATATATAAAATATATATATAAACATATATAAATTTCTATAAATATTGATTTTTGCGCTCAAAATGTCAGTTATGCCCTTTTGCCGTGGGTTTTCTGATTCAAGACATGTTGACAAACTTTGGCAAAAGGATATAAGTACCCAGTTTAGTTCCTTTCAACGAAATTTTGAGTCAGATTTTTCAAAAATAACATTCAATATATAATTTCATATGTTAGTCATGTATAAACTATAAAATAAATGTACAATAAAACCAAAGAAACGCATTAAATAATAAATAATAAAATTACAAACGATTAAAAACCCATGTATAGGCTAACCAAGTATACAAACAAGAAAATGAATTAACATTAGTATGCTATTATGTATCAACAAAGCCTTTTTGGCTAAAGGTGCTAGATCGAGGACCCTTTGGGTAGGAGGCCTTATGGACCCCTAGGGGTCTGGGAGCACAAGAGCACATAGGCGTTACGTCACTGCGTGAAGAATGCATGCGTATGCGTATATAAAATAGAACTGCTGTTTAGTTAGAATGCTCATGTGACTGTTTTTATGTGTACGTTAAACAAGAATTACAATTATTTTTAAAATTTTATTTACAAAGTAAAATAATAAATTTATATTTTAAGTCATGTAATTACCAATATAAATTAGGCCTATTATTATTATTATTATTATTATTATTATTATTATTATTATGATTATTATTAGCAATTCTTTTCTATGATCCAAATTCAATAATAAAATGATTACGAATATTATTGTTTTTTTATATTCTAATAAAATATTTAGAAAATGTATTATATATATATATAGATTTAGATGGAAATGTAAGTTGTTGTTTGCTTAGTAAACACAGTTGATTCGAGTAAACTGTGCATTTATACCTTTTTGTCATGCCATTTGCTATAAATAAATGTTGTAACTCATTTTCGCCAAAAATGTCAGTTATGCCCTTTTGCCATGGGGGGGGGGCAGAATAGTAGGCATAGAAGCAGGATTTTGTATTATACATAATTATATTATGACGAATGGAAAGAACTCATGCAGTTTAAGCGTATGGAAATTTGTAGTCACTAGAAAATCAATGTCTCTATTAAGCCCAATAATGTGGGTTTTGTGCTTGAGAATGAGTTTAAATTCGGTAACACGGCGATTTTCAATGATGTAAAGTTGCTAGCTATAAGGGTACATTTAATATCTGTAGTATAATCATTGATGCTGTGATTAGGAGAATTAAAATGAATGGCAATGGGAGGTTTTTACTTGTGCGGATTGACGATTTGTGGTTGTTAAACTTACTTCTAAAAGTGGCACAGGTTTCTCAATGCAGGTACCGTGATCACATACCTTACATGTTATAAAGTACGGTAGATAACGTTAGATGAGTTGCATGAAAGAGGAGGTGGGTAAATTTTGTGATTGGTGATCGGGAGTGAAATATTGCTATCAGTTACAATATGCTTGCAAAATTGACAACGGGGCTTGTTATTTTTATGTTACCATGTGAGGGGGTGTAGTGGTGGTGCGTGAAGATGTTAGTAGGGTTTTCAAGTTAGGGGATTGGCGGTGAGCGAGGAGGAAGATGAAATTCAACTAACTAATCATTTCATTTTCATTTATTTATTTGAAATCAAACGGTCTAAGTGTTGCATCAGCAACAATGCGCCATAACACGAATGTGTCTGCAACCCCTGTACAAACAACAGAATGAATGCATAGGCCTAGTACAAATTCAGACATTTACAAATTCGATAAAAAAGCAATTCAAAGACCAACAAATTGAAAGGTCCAGTAAAATAGAGGTAAATAAAATGCAAGATTTAAAAAAAAAATGCAATTGAAAAGGGATGGGTTTATGGAAGTGAAATATAATTAAAATTGCACAGAATCAGGGAGTTGCAATTTAAACAAACTGATGTGTTATCAAGTAGGTGTTTTTTTAACTTAAATAAAATAATTTAAGAGGATGAACAACAGCATAATCTTGAATTAAAAGAAGAGGTGATGACCAAACAACAGGAAAATTATGGATTGGAGTATATATTAAAGCATTAGAATGAGCAAAATGAATAAACGTGAGTGATTCGGTATGACGCGGGTTGACTTGAATGTTTCTGAAAACAATGTTCAGGAAGCAACCAACCTTATATAAACATCGAAAAATAAACGAATAGACGATTAATGATTTTAATAATTATTTAAATATATTACAATTACTACCTACTAATAAGAAGTAATTGATTTCGAAACCCACAAAGTGGTTTGGCTCAGTGTGAACGGTTAGGTTTCCCAACCAAGAGGTCGGGGTTTCAATCCCTCGCTATTTTATGATTGATTATTTATACAAATTATAGTATTTTTATTTTTTATTTGTTTCTCTTTTGTAGATTATGGCGTTGGTTACAAGTGGGATCCACAGGTGCTAGAGATAATTGCGGGTGATACAGTTATGTGGCAGTGGTCAACACCAGCTTTAGTAGAATCAGTTGGGTTTACGGTCCAACAAACGGCTGATGCAGATTCTGTTGAATATGATGGTCATGGATTCTATGCAGGGCCCCGCTCAAAAAGTGGTAAGTATATAGTTATATATTCCTCACATTATACCAACCACAGTAGGTTGACAGATATATTAATCTGTCTCTTATACACATCTAGATGTGTATAAGAGACAGAGCCTACAGTGGGGTCTAAGAATTCTACTAGATACCCTTCTTTGAACTTTTTCGATACGGTCAATGTTACTTGCAGTTCCTGGACACCATGCCGGTAAACCATATTCAAGAATTGCTTTAAATGCTTTGTATAGATATGAAATAGCGTCTTGAGAGCAATTACCGGCAACAGAAAAAAAAACCTACCATTCTGTTAGCTCTAGCCATTACATTGTCAATTTGAAATTTCCAATTCAACTTGATCCAGTTGAATTATTTCACCATTAAGTAGGTAGGTTGCTTATCAAAACTATGCTTACGCGTGATGTGTATTACTTTAGTCTTTTTAGCGTTAAACTTAATTTTATTATCATTAGCCCAAATACACAAACTGTCAATATCCTTTTGTAGAGTAATAATATCATTCACACTACGTCTATGCCTGTATAGTACTATATCATCAGCAAAAAGTATGCATGAAGATAAAACATTAATATTAATATCATTAACAAACATATTAAACAGGATCGGACCTAGGCAGCTACCTTGAGGGATACCAGAAGTGACCGGAAGTGAAGTAGAGGCAACTCATCTAAAGCTGACTCTT